TTGTTTCAGCCTGCATTATAAATGCCTTACTCCCTTTGTTTCAGCCTGCATTATAAATGCCTTAGTCTCTTTGTTTCAGCCTGTGTTATAAATGCCTTACCCCCCTGTTTCAGCCTGTGTTATAAATGCCTTAGCCCCACTGTTTCAGCCTGTGTTATAATTGCCTTAGTCCCCCATTTTAGCCTGTGTTATAAATGCCCCAGTCCCCCTGTTTCAGCCTGTGTTATAAATGCCTTAGTTCCTCTGTTTGAGACTGCATTATAAATGCCTTACTCCCTTTATTTCAGCCTGCATTATAAATGCCTTAGTCTCATTGTTTCAGCCTGCATTATAAATGCCTTAGTCTCATTGTTTCAGCCTGTTATAAATGCCTTAGTCCCACTGTTTCAGCCTGTTATAAATGCCTTAGTCCCTTTGTTTCAGCCTGTTTTATAAATGCCTTAGTCCCTTTGTTTCAGCCTGTTTTATAAATGCGTTAGTCTCTTTGTTTTTTGTCTGTTTTATAAATGCCTTAGTCCCTTTGTTTTTTGTCTGTTCTAAAAACTGTTTAATAACTTTGCTTCAGCCTTTATTATAAATTCCTTAGCCCTTCTCTTTTAGCATGTTGTATATATGGCACAAGTCTCCTGTTTAAGCCTGCATAAATGGCTTAGTTTTTACTAAAACACTTATCTGTCTAAAGGTAGATAAATGTAGCTTTTTATTTTACATTAAGTAGATTGGTAATAATTCTGCTTTAGCAGTAATGATTATGGACCAGCTCAAATTTGCCTTCATAATCTGGTAGTTTATTATTTTAATGATTGTAGTATTGCTTTTATGCCATCATGATGTAAGATTATTTTTCAGGTTTCAACTTTCATACTACTTTAAATGTAGGGTAGGTTTCTATAGAACTAACACAAGTTTCAATAAATATTTAACACCAACGTAATTAGTCCTCTTTTTCATCTTGCACATTTTCCAATTTCGCAGTTGTGACTGTCTAATAGTAGAAGATGATTATTGTTATTATAGAACATAGATATTTACTCTGTAAAACTTAATTACTCATATTAATTATCCTATAGAAGAGTAGATTAAATTGGTTGTCAAAAAATACATTGAGTCCGTACGTGAAATGAACCTTGCCTTTGCATATAATGTAACTGGAAATGGAAAATATTCTTGGATTTCAAAATATTTCAGTAATATTACATTTCATTAGTTTTACACAAAGTTGTGTGATATATTGGAATTTTATTTATAAAACATTAAGAGTGAAACTGAGGTGTGTGTTAAGAAAACAAAATTTCCAAAAATTATGGATCTTTATATTTATTGAGTTAGTTTTGTTTCATCCATTTTGAGTTTTAGGAGGGTGAATAGGTGTTACATCCCCACTGCTGTGTGTGTTAGACACCTCTTTTGCAGGGGTATATTTTAACTTTCTTAAATTGTACTTTACATATATTTTATTAGTCTGTCTGTTATTCGATATTCCTTTACTTTTGACCTAGTTTTCTCTAAGTTCATATATAACAAAAGTCTGTTATATTTTTGTATGAAAGATATGTTAATATCTTTTATGATTGATTAACCTTTTGTTATTTCTTTTTGTTGCTATACTTAATAAACAACACTTAGAGGAATAATCAGTACCAAGATTAGTTGATGTTTTATATAACTTCAATGAAAATTCAACACCTACTCACTAACTGTTTCTTTCCAGTTGCATGAGTCATTTTTTATTAGTTTATTTAACCAGATGTTAAAGTTTTCAGAGGATATTAAAATAATAAACTTAAAATCATATTTTTTGTACTAGATACTTAGCAGAACTGAACTGGATTTTAAAATTACAACAGTAAATACCCTGATTCTTTGAACAAGTTCACACAAGTTGTTGGTCTAAAAATTATTATTATTAAAAGAAATACATGTAGTTACAAAAACTTTGAACATTTTGGAACACATTTCTTCCATCTTCAGCAAAATCTAGAAATAGTATTATAATTCGATTTCTTAACAAGTGATACTGTAACATCAGTAACTAATTTATTTTGGATATTCAGAAAACAAATAAAGAGGAAGGAATGTACAGATTTAGTGAAAAGTACTGCAACTAAAGAAGATAAACATTTTTCTATCATTTACACTGATTTTAAAGCTCTATCCCCAAACGCTTTAAATGAAACTGGTTGTGTCACTTTGAAAAACAAAATTCTAAATCTGTATTCTAATTACTTTATTTACAGAAAGAAATTACACTTCTGCACAAACATCTGACTTCCTAACCAAATTTCTAAATAAATTCCAGCCAGTTTCTACTTTACACAAATTTCCCTTACTTACTTACCTTCCTTTTATGGGCTCGCAAACAAAGAAACACCTCTCCCACCCGGTAAAAACTTCTACCATGAAGTTCAGCTCGGAGTAATATATATATATATATAGACCTATCCTGTGCATTAAATACTTCGTGCCAGATGAAGATTGAATACCAATACTCTTATGTTAAGAGCATGTGTATAAGTATATATGTAGTGATTGTAAGGTCACATTCATTGGCAAAAAACAAAAAATGAGTCCGTGAACATTTAGGACAATCAGATAGGACTGGCTGCCCCTTACTTTAACCGGTCACTCAGTCACAACATTTAAAATAATTAATTCTCTGTTATCACTACAGGATATTCAGACCTTGAACTTCACTATAAATAAAGCTTACTAACAGTAAAAGACCACTCCACTCTTCGTGAATTACAATCATCCTTAAACCTAAGATTATTCTAAATAACTTCACTTTTGTTAAGTATAGTTTTTAAGTTGATGTCTCATGTAAATTGCAATTTTGTTATTTTCATTACATATTCTATAATCTGTACATCCTTCTGTTTACCTCTTTACTAAGTATATGAGGTATTGGAGTTACTATAAGGTTAGTTAATAAATGTTTCCAGATTTCATTGAAGATAAAATAAGTGTATTCTGAAATGTTTGAAGCTTTTGTAAATAAAAATGTTGTTCCTCTTATAAAACCATCTTTATTATAACACATGTAATTAAATAATCAATTGGAAGTCATCACATTCTAAAATGTGTACTTGAGTAATGAGTCGCTAATAACTTTTAAAAAGTGTAGTTACAACCCTGTTAAGTTTTATTAAAGCAAAAACTGTAAGAAATCAGGTTGTAAATAGCCAGGTGGCAGTTGTTGGTTCTTGGTGCTAAGGGTGTTTAATTACTATTAAAAACTGGAAGTCACTTTGTAAATAGCATACTAGCAACTAGCTAGCTTTTGTCCTTTAAAACTGTCCACAACTAGGAAACAGCTTGGCAAAATTCTGTTGATTGGTACATGTAGACATGTAGGCCTTAAAACTGGGTAACATTATGTTTACTGATAAATTTATATCTCAAAATTTAAGAAGTCCCCTATAAGCAGCTAGGTAACATTGTTTACTGGTAGATGTAGGGCTTAAACTGATCAATGAAGAAATTAAAACACACACCCTCATAAACAGATGGGCAACAGTTTTTAAACTTGTAGCTTTCAAAACTGTCCATGTATATTTAAAGAAATCAGGGTGAGTTCATAAACAGATGGGTAACAGTTTGTAAACTTGTAGCTTTCACAGCTGTCCATGTATATATATATAGAACTCAAGATGAGTTCATAAACAGATGGGTAACAGCTTGTAGACTTGTAGCTTTCAGAGCTGTCCATGTATATTTAGAAAACTCAAGATGAGTTCATAAACAGATGGGTAACAGCTTGTAGACTTGTAGCTGTGAGAACTGTCCATGCATATTTAAAGAAATCAGGGTGAGTTCATAAACAGATGGGTAACAGTTTGTAGACTTGTAGCTTTCAGAGCTGTCCATGTATATTTAGAAAACTCAAGATGAGTTCATAAACAGATGGGTAACAGCTTGTAGACTTGTAGCTGTGAGAACTGTCCATATATATTTAAAGAAATCAGGGTGAGTTCATAAACAGATGGGTAACAACTTGTAGACTTCAGAGCTGTCCATGTATATGTAGAAA